AAGATCTTGAACGATGAGTCATCATTTCAAAAACTCTTTCTCCATAGTATAATATTCTTAAAGTATTTGGTTATGCATGTTTTCTATATCTTAAGCCATACAACTCCAATAAATTACAGTTTCGTTCTACACGTTGTGTCTTGTTGGACCTCTCATTAAATCAACCAGGTTACAGGTGTCTAAACTTGTCTACAGGTAGCGTCTTCTTGTCACGTCATGTTGTCTTTGATGAAATTACTTTTCCCTGTACAGAAACCAACTATACTTAGATTTCTTCTTCCACCTTACTTACCTAACACCATAATTAATATTGAACCCCACATGCCCACTTTCCCTCCCATTCCCACGACATCACCTACACCTACTTTTTCCATCCCTAATGCTACCCCACGTCCTACTCCTACCCCTCCTTCTGCCAACCTCATCTCTACTCTATCAATCCCTCCTGACACCCCACTTCCCACTTCAACCGTCCCCTCTGCCAACCCCACTCCCTTCTTCTTATCAGTTCGAGTCAATAATCCACCTTTAGAACATCTTCAGCGTTGGAGTCATTTCTTCAGGTTATACATTATTCAATCCATCTAATGAACAGTAATTATCATTAATAAACAGTAATAATCCTGATAATAAGTAATAAAATATTAATATTTTTTTTATTTATAAAATAATACAAAATAATTTTAATTGTAATATCGGATAAGATTTTTAATCGTTCTCGTTGCGCCTCGTGTCATTATTCGAAATATTATTAAATAATACAAAAAAATTCAGAATTTTTTTTGAATTTTTTACAAATTTTTTTTAAATTTTTATTCAATTAATTAATCTCTGCCGTTGGATATAAAAAAAATTTGAATTCCAACACTCCAGATTGTGCCACGTGTCACAACGGTAACTTTTCTTAATTTTAAAACTATTTTTTCTTTTATTTTTTATTTGTAAAGCATATTAATATCCACCGTTGATCTCAGATCCAACGATGGATATTAAATAAGACTTTTTTTTTTTTTTACTATTGAGATCGAACGATCCAAATTAAATATTCGTAGAGATTGAACGGACCGTGGGAAGCCATGTGGCTTCCCAACAGTAATTGAAAAAGCAAATTTTTTTTTTCTAATTTTGTATCGGCTACGCGCCCCCACGCACGAGTGGGGTGCACGCGCCTGACACAAAAAAAATTAAATAAGGCCTGACGCCAGGCTGACGTCAGCGCTGGCGTCACAAGGCCTCAGGCTCTCGGCCTGGCAATTCTCCATGGGCCCGAAGCTCGGGTCTCCACCTTCACTTAGGTTTGCCCACGCTGGAGCCGGTCCACGGGGCCTCGGGCCCCTTTTCTCTCCCCCATCCCCCGAGCAACTGCCCACGCTAGGCTTGCTCTTAGATCCACTAGTTTCTCTCCACCCTATGAATGCAAGTAAATCCACTGTTACCTCTTCGTCTCAGAGGCCCACTTTACCTACACATCCCATGGTTACTCGAGCCAAGGAGGGGATTCGCAAACCTATTCCCATATATGCATTTATTGCCCATACAACTAATGATGTGGTTGAGCCTACTTGTTTTACACAGGCTAAAAAATATGCAGAATGGAGACAGGCTATGGCAGACGAGTTTAATGCTCTTCAGCGAACCGGTACATGGTCATTGGTTCCATTTCAATCAACCATGAACGTTCTTCCGAATAAATGGGTGTACAAAATTAAGCGGCATTCTGATGGTTCCATACAACGATTTAAAGCACGTCTTGTGGCAAATGGTTTTCATCAACAAGCCGAAATTGACTACAGTGAAATTTTTAGCCCCGTTGTCACATATGCCACTATCACATTACTTCTTTCCATTGCCCTGCACTACAACTGGCCCATTCGCCAACTTGACGCCCAAAATGCCTTTTTACATGGTTCTTTGACGGAGGAAGTGTATATGCGCCAGCCCTCTGACTTTGTTGATCCTCAGTACCCTTCACATGTTTGTCGTTTGCATAAATCTTTATATGGTTTGAAGCAGGCTCCTCGTGCCTGGTTTCACTGTTTTTCTCAACATTTTGAACACTTGGGCTTTCAGGCATCTCTGGCAAATTCCTCATTGTTTACCTTTTTCCATGGCACCACAATAATTTATTTGCTTATTTATGTTGATGATATCCTGGTTATGGGCAACAGTTCATGTCACATCAACCAACTTATTGCTCAACTCAGCCATATGTTTCAATGAAAGATCTTGGCCATTTACATTATTTGCTCAACTCAGCCATATAGTCCGCATTATATGGTTCCCGCTCAACTACTCCAAAACAGAGTTTGGATAACACACGATGTCTTCAACAGATTGAGAAGAATCACAATCCTCCTTCAACATGACTCTATCATCACCGGGTATCTTAGCTTTCTGTTTTGTATTTTTGTAATTTGAATTCCATTGTAATCTTGATAACAGATACACTGTAATCTTGTAAAGCCTATATAATGAAGTACATAATTCACTCATAATTAATTGAGTTAAGCTTATGCAATTAGTCATTTCAACCCTAGCTTGAATTCTTTCACTGGCATCCCCTAACCAACGTTTCTCAGTATGAAAAACCAGTCCCTTATCCGACACACTCCATAGGAATCCATCGAATTCCTCATTCCTATGCCATAACCCCTAATTTTCACGACCCCCAAATTTATTGCCCATCTTCGTCATACGAACGGAATCCGTGGGTTTCCGATACCGAGAACAATCAGGTCTCTCCTTAAGAGCTTGACCTGGGTCTAGATTCGACGGTCCACACATCTTCGAAGGAGGCAAAGAGGCAGCTGATGTACTGAAGAAAATGAAGGAGAAGGGTGTGGAGCCCGATCTTGTTACGTATTATACTTTGATTTTTGGGTTATCGAAATGTGGGCGGATTATGGAGGCTAACAAGTATTTGGGTATCATGGTCGAACCGTGTCATTTCCCGGATGCGGTGACATACACTTCATTGATGAACGGAATGTGTCGAAAAGGGGATGTCTTGGCGGCAATGGAGTTGTTAGAGTAGAACCTGTTGCACATTGATGCTTACATTTACTCCAAATCTAATCATGATGGTTTTCTCTACTTGTGCTATGTGCAATCCGGCTAGATATGCTCTTCTCAAAATAAGGTTAGACATGTGAATTGTGAATTCTGATTTTTCTTTGATTGTTATTATGCAAGTAAGGCTGTTATTCTGGCCGGCCAGTTTCGTTGGCTGTTGTAGGTTGTTTGAGTTGTCAACAGTCGTCGTTGATGAAGCAAGAAGGCTACATCTAGCACACTAACACTATCGATTTTAACTGCACCAGGTCAAATGACTCTTCTGATGAACCGCAACAATGACAAGATCCCCAATTGGAAGGCCCTGGACACGAAGCCACGAGAAGTTTCATATGTCTAGCCATAGGCTGTAAGATCTGTAGTAGATTTCGTGATGCTGCAAAGAATTACAATTTACAGGAGCAGTTTGAGTAACCAGTGGAGCCAGAGTAAATGACCGGCATTAATAATCCCCGGAAGCTCAATTCCACCACTTTGTATTCACTTCCAGACAAACATTTTACCCCTTGACAGATATCCTCCAACAAAATAACCATGGTCGCAGACAAACCTCTCCCCCGAATTTTGCATCAGACACTATCTGCTATTTGTTGTTGAAGAGCTACTCCTGTGGAGCTGTAATTGTCTGCTACTATCCATACAAGTACAAAAATCCCCCTTTTCGTGATTGGGTGGCTGTACAAAATAATAGCTTATACAAATTAGTCAAAAAGGGCTCTAAGAAAGGTTATCCAGATGACAGGACCATGTCTACTCTTTTGCGATCTTGTATTACTTTGAATTTTATGAAAAGCAATAGAATAAGCCCCCAAATTGTACTTGCCTGTTCGGATTTGCGTTAACAATTGAGAACAATTGAGTGGGATATCATGACTCTTAATATTTTCTAGTTCTCTAATCCTCGTTTCTGGATAGTACATCATATTATGAACCAATTAATCTGATACGAGACAATACAACACGTTAACGAGTTGGATTGTTATTTGGTCATCTGTTAAGAACTTATTATGGTGATGGATTTGACACGACACAATCTGTTAAAATAATATGTATGACACGAAAACGACAAATACAACCAGTTTATCAGGTCAAGGTACATGATACATCTCCTTCAACTTGTTACCACAACTGAACCCTATAACTATACTCCGTTGTTTATTTATTTTTTAATCAGAATAAATTTCATTAGATAGAATTCAAAATTACATCAACATTTGTCAACAAAACAATAAGATCAATACAATCTAGAGGCACAAGCTGTACAAACAACTAAACAACTCACATTACCAGAAGTAAGCTTTATCTCATGTCAAACTCACACCGCAAAACTACCAAAACGTAAAACAACCTACAAGCTTAAATCACAAGAAATACAACTTCATGAAGCGTACTCGCCATCCAACCAAGAAATCAGTGTGTGACACTGGGGATTTGGGGAAAACATGGTCTCCAGATATCCAACTGGGCCTTTTTTTAATATTTTACTTTTTGATAGGACGATATTCTAAATTACTCTAAGTTGCAAGAGAGAGATGAATTATTTTGACCAACTAACCTAACTCACATTTACTTATGATGTTATTTATTCAGTGAACAAAATTATGCATAATTAGGCAAAGGCAGAAAAGGGTTCCCTAAAAAATGCAACAAAGAGTGTAGCATTACTCTGTGTCTTTGATTTAGGGTCTGCTAGGTTTGTGTCCTGCCAGCAAGGTTATACAAAACATGTGATACAAGGCATTTTTAACTCCTGAGGTTTAGGCTCTTTTGTGACACTAATTGCCAACAGCCGGCCGCCCCTCTTCGACCCAAAAATTATATTATACCTGTGTACTAAAACTCAACACGAAAACAGCGTTCATTAACAGTGAACGGGCGAAAATGCGCTCCAATTCTTTTGTATTTTGATATTTTTCCTCTGTTTGTACAGTGAAATGATGAACTTGATCCTGCTATCCACGCGTCCGTGTGCTTCTACATGATGTTGACGCGTTGGTCTGCTCTTAGAAATTCTGGATTCTTCCTTCCTTCCATTTCGATCTCTCTCACAGACCCTTCTGTTGCTAAAGCTTGCCTTCCCTCGTTCTCCGATCTCGACTCCTCTCTCTCACTTTCCTGCTGAAAAAAACCAACCCAATAGAAATTTCTCCAGTTCTTTCTCTTAAAAACAAGAAGTCACTACTGCAAAACTCCAAAAAGAAAAAAAAAAAGAATTCGAATAGCCATTTGCTTTTCCTTGGATTTGGGTTTTGCTTCGATTCCTACACTGTCCAAAACTTTGCCTCCCGGTGTGGATCAATCTAGGGTTTTGTCTAAGCTGCAATCGCACCTCTGTCCTCCGCCGTCCGTCACTGTAAGTCCTTTTTCTTTTTCCAGAATTTTCAATCCTTTTATGTTTCATTTTCTGAAATCTGCATGTTTCTGTGCATATATATATATATATATATATATATATATGTATGTATGTGTATATATTGTTAAATATGGGACTGTCAAATTGCACTTATTTAGTGGTTAGAGTGTAAGTAATGTTCTTATGGGTATGTGTTTGTTAGTTTTAATTTAAAAAGGGTAGTCAAACTCGGATTTGAGAGGATTTTAAAAAATTTTAAAATCCTAGTATAGTCAATTAAAAGATTTTAATTGACTACACTAGATTTTGCGTAGTACTGGTTTGTTTACCAGTGTGTGAAAGTACGATCTCTGGTGCATTTTTTGCATTTCTTGACGTCTCTGATTTCAATTTTTTTCCGTTGTTTGGGTTGGCTTTGTGATGCGGTTTGATTTTTGGTTTCAGGAAAAGTTACCAATACGATCTCAAGGTTTTCTGGTGATTTTTCTGCTTTTCTGGTTGTATGTTGTTTGATTTTTTTTTTTTTTTTTTTTTTCGTGCTTTGAGTTTGCCTTTCTGATCTGCTTTCATATTTGGTTTCAGCAAAAAAAGTTGTTCGAATTTTGGCCTTTCTGTCTGCAACCTTGCAAGCTGTTTGTGCTCAAGGTATATAACTTTCTTTTTGTTTTCGTGTTGGATCTTTCTCCGATGATGGTTTGTTTGATTGGTCAAAAAATGAAAGAAATAATTATGAAATTTAAACTGAATTATGCTTCATTTATTAGGCACTTATATGGTTATGCATGTGTTCTCTACCTCCTCCTCTGACTCTTTTTTCTTTTTCTTCTTCATCTCTTTGTGCAACTTCCAAATATGGTGGAATCGGTGGAGCTTCCCACTCGCCTAGGCATCTTTCCTTTCTGAAACAAGGACCTTCGACCCTGCGCCATCTTCGAATTCACTGCACTTCACCCGGCAGGTACCTTTGAGCCTTAAAATTTGTCTTTTGATTGATTGTTTTTTCTGTTTTAATCCTGAGATAACTTTGTATGTACTTTAACCGGTAGCTGTTTTAGCTCAGCACAAACTTTATAGCTCTGCAATTACTCCACTTGCTTGGAAATTATGTTCCTTTTATGCTATTTGTTGCCCAACTGTGTCGTTTACTTTTTGCTGCAAAAAATTTGCATATTTTGTTCTTCAATTTTGCCAGAGTTAATTCAAATGCCAACTTTTCTTTTTCCTTTTTCTAGGTAATTGATCGATATGCGGTTTGTAAGATGGATTTTTCTAACTGGTGGATTATCGAATTGATAAAATTGGGGAATTCCAAAAAGATTGGGATAAAGAGTTCGCACCGTGTTTACAAGATCAACAGCTGATTCGCACCGTGTTTACAAGATCAACAGCTGATACAGCCCCATACTTTTTTCTTAAATCCAGAAAAAGCCGCTCTGCCACTCGAGGCTGCATAACATGTAGTACAGAAGAAGTCAGATGGGGATAGATTGCAGAAGAAAGAATCTTAGAATTTAAAAACAAATCACCAACTCGCAGATTCCTCAAGTCGCACAATTTCGAACTTGGGCTTATACGTTAAGTCAACAATTTGGTCCCAAAGCAACGGAATTGACCCCCCTAACCTGCAGATAAAAGCATTAAAGATGCTGTAAACCATTTAGGACAATTAATCAGGGAAAATAGAAAGGAAAATTTTATTTAAACACATTTAACCTCTTTCTACACCTGACCTAAATTTTAAATATTAGTTGTCTTTGCATAATTATTATTAAGTACAAAATGAAATTAATAAAAAAAATCAAATTTATCAATAGATCCAAATACTATAATTAAACCTTAGCATCACTTTTTGTTTATCCTACGTTCATTCCAACTAAAACCTTAAGACTGCATTTGTTTGGCTTCCTTAACTCTCAATGGATTAGATTGGACTATAGTCTAGTGTTTGTTAGATATTGGGCTATGTTTGATGAGACTAAAGGGGACTCGTGTGGACTAATAGGCTTGCTAGAAGTTCTTAGCGAGAGCCCTTGAAAAGGAGGGGACTAGCTAAGACCGTCTTCCTTCTCTGCTCTCTTTCGTCTCTTCCTCCTCTAACTAGACCTATATAACTGCACCACCTTCGACCGTCGTGGGCATAGATTGCTGCAGATGGTCTTCGTTCTAACCCAAATCATGGGATCTTTGTGAACCCAGTGGTAGGTGAGGAACACGACGGCCGTTGAAACCCAAATCACGGAATCATTGTGAACCTAGTGGTGGGTGACGACGATGAAGGAATGTCGAAGGCCAAAACACCGGCGCCCACGACGGCGACGAAAACGGCAAAGGTCTTGGATTTGGACAACAGTGGCTTGGGATCGTCGGCGATAAAGATGTGGTAAGCAACCTGAGACACCAAATTGTGGAATTTAAAATTGTTGAGAGTTGATTTCGATTTGATCTGTAATTGTAGGGAGTTGGTTTTGATCTTGATATGCAATTGTAGAAAGTTGGTTTTGATTTGATCTCAAAGCATGGAATTGGGTTTCGAATAAGAGGAAGAGTTTTCAGGAAAAAAAAAAGATTAAAAAATGAGAGAATTAAGAATAAAATATTAATAGAGATATAGTTAAATTAATATAATATTAGAATTTATTAATTATCATACTTGTTAGTCAGACACTACACTAAACACTTCACTAAGTTAGTCCAGTTTAGTCTAGTTTAAGCAAGTCCAACTTAGTCCTTGAAGCTAGTCTAATCTGAGATAGTCTGGTGCAACAAATGCACCCTAATAGCTCTGATAGAGAAAAACAAGCTTTTCTATTGATGAATGGTGATTTTGAAGTTTTTAATCCTCCAACTAAGGTATAACTCGATTTATGGATATTTTGTTTGTTTGCTTCTTCTTTGGATTAAATTTCATATTTTTTATAATATATTGTATTTATTTCTCTATGTCGTCTGTATGTGCCCCAAACACTAGTGCAAGGACTTTTGATTAGTACTGCAAAGACATAAAACTTGATTCTTGGTGCAAATAAAGATTGCTCAACTTTAACCACGAACTAGCGGGTGGCATGTCTTGCACCTTTTTTATTCGAAATAGCTCCAATTTGTTTATTTGTTTATTAACATGGTAGCAAAACACACAGCCCTATGTTACTTCAAAGTTTCTTAAAAAATTTATGAAAATGCTCGATTTAAAAAAGGCTGAAATGGAGCTTGCATAACATTCTTTTGGCAAATTGGAGTCTATGGAATGATCTCTTGGATCCCAAGTCCATGGATGGGTTGTGGTAGCAAAAAGAAAAAGGGCAGCCATGAAAATGTTAGTACTGTACGGCAGATGCAATTAGAGGGGCAAAGGGCGCCTCTTTGAAAAAAAATGCTTGCATGTGATGTTTTGTGCATGCACACACTCATCAGACATACATCCATTTTCTGTTTGGTAGTCATACAAATTTAATTCTTGGATTGCTGGTTTTTGTTTCTTCATTCATATGTGGTTTACTGAGCTAGTGTGTGAATTTTGCAAATCTAACCATTGCAAGAAATTATTCTCCAGACGTGAGTTTGACCCCATTAAAACTAGACCTGTTATAATGGGTTGTATGCATTGTTGTTTGATGCTCTAACCCTTTACCGATTGTCATTTGATTGTCTTGACCTTTTTCCAATTGCATTTCAGGTGAAGAACTTTGACAGAATCACTAGGAATTGCAAATTCAGCCGTGTCAAATCTTTTGTTGTCCATGCCTACAACTTTTGTTATAAAGAGAATGGGTGTAAATATAATTTTACATTTTGAATTGGGTTTGAGAGGGTAGTTTAGGTAATAAATTTGGGTTTAAAGAGATATTAATTTTTTAATAAAAAACAATATGGGTGAAGAGAGTAAGTTGGGTGTAGAAAGAGATTAAATAAATTCAAATAAAACTTTCCAAATAGAAATAAAACCATGTGATCAAAAAGTCCATATCTTAATTACATATGCATAGTTATACAATTTTACCTGGACAAATGATGTAGTAAACCCATTCAAGTGCATAATCTGCTCAGTTTCGACAAAGTTCGCTACGTACCCATCAGAATCAGCTCCTCTTCTCCACATCCGCGCGCCTTCCAAGAAAAGAAAATTATTATTGGCTAGAGTAACAAAAACATAAGTCCTATTTCCGATGCATATAGCACCCCTAACTGTTAGAGCCGGTCCAGAGATTTTTTGAGGCTCAGGACAATGCCAAAAATAGTGCCTTAACTTTATATAAGAAAATTATGTATTTTCATATATAAGACATCGATAAAATTATACTTAGAAAAACATTTCAAACTAAATAATTTAAAAACACAGAAAGACTAATTTATTTTGTATTGAGATAAAGAAACCAAAAAACTCCGGGCTTACAAGTAGATAGATGATGAGTTTTGTTTTCCATCTGAACTTTGAAAGTGTTTTTGTATATATCATGAGGTGTTTTTTCTTATTTACTAACCTTGTCAATATGAGGCTAAAAAAACAATGATGTTTTTGAGTCTTTCATTGATATGTATTAGTAATGAATGGGCACTAAATTAAACCTTTTGATGATACGTCATATGATTTTCAAATTTGCTCTAAAAATTTGGTCTACGTATTACTCTTTGTTGAATATTAGACTTGAATTGAAATGAATATTTAAAAATAACAACCCACATAGCTACTAGCTAGTAACTAAAAATAATTTAACAACCAAACAAAAATTTGTAAAAATTAAAAAGACTAAACATGCACATAGCATTTCGAACTTAAGACCTCTCGTTAATTTTAAACAATAAAATTCATTGCTTCTAATTAAACTTCTTGATCCTTTAACCAAATTTTATAAATTTATACTCTTATGAAAAGAAATTTGCAAAAATTGAAAAGTAAATAAGCACATGTGGTGTTTTGAACCCAAGACCTTCTCATTATTTTCAAATGACAAAACCACCACTTCTAGTTAAATTTCTGTGTCATTTAGTTAAATTTCTGTGTCATTGAACCAAATTTTATAAATTTATACTCTTATGAAAACATACATAAATATACCGTCTTAATAATTTTGGTGTTCCCAATTTTTTTGGGCCTTGAACGGTCATCCTGCCCGCATTGGGCCTGGGCCGGCCCTGCTAACTGCATAAGATATTATAACCTCTACATTCCCAAATTTAGCATGAATATAATTCTGCTGGAAATGCATATACAATTCACATAGATGCACACCAGAAATCAGTGGACCTTTTACTTCCTACTACACTGAACAGATGCAACATCCATTCAACCATCCTATTTCAGCGTTACCTATTGAAATGAAGGGTAGTTGGTCCACAGCTCAAACACTTCTACGATCAAGCAAACATAATTTTTTTTTTAAATAGGCAAATCATTAGTTCGCCTCATAGGTGGTACAGTACTAACGTCACCATCTATTATTCGTTTATCTGCAAGTGTATGCTAACTGTAATTACAGAGCATGGCAATAAATAAACGACTGAAAAAGCACAAAGATTTGAATACCATTTCGCCTAGTGCATCTCCTAGCAATCAGAGTAACATCAATAATATCTTTGCCAATGGCTGCTTGAAAGTGATGAAAGCGTGATGATCAATTAAGGAGAACCTCTCAATGACAAAACAGTTTATAAATCCAACACCAACACACACAAATGAAATTAAACAATACACAAGTACGAAATGTATGCCTGTGTGCAGGCACGCAAGCACACATGGGAAACGGCAATAAACTGAAAGGAAGAACGAATTAAGGATATTCCCTTGAACAATAGGAAGTAGGTATGGATCAAGCTGCAGTCAAAGACCATATAAATGCTCAGAAGTTAGTAAATGGGAATTAAGTTCATCAGAAAATGGAAAAGATAAAACTAAAAAGTTAGCAAAGACCCAACCTCGTTATCTATCATCCCTTCCATCATATAATTGTTCCAAAGAAATCTAGGCTCTGCCTGTGGAAAAGCATTTGAAGACATGAGATTGAAACCATGAAGATAAGACATAAAACACGGATATTTGAATTTAAACATAACTTTGGGAACAAGCAAATATAGTAAACAATTTCAGTCTTAAATTGTCAAGCCACTTCAAATTAAAACAATAATAAAAGTAAGTTACCACAGAGTCAGGGAATAACTGTCTCCAAAGTGGAAGCAATTTAGATTCATCGCCCAAATCATGCAATCGCTGCGCGCTGCAATTACACAATTTTTTTTTATAATAATGAATAGCACAAGTTTGCCTCAAATATTAAATGAAACCTTCTTCTTCTTGTTTCTCATGGTGACTTGGGTAGGGGGACAAATGAATACAGATAACACTTCACCTCAGTGTTAAATTGGTCTCATATGAGAAATAAAGACCAGGAGTCTTCTCTGCTATATTTAGCAGCCCAGAAAACTCAAGTCTCCATCTTTTTCTGCCAAAAAGGTACAACGATATAGTATTCATGTCAGTAGCCACTCCTCGATTAAGGAAAAGATTAAAAGAGAACAGAATCAATAAGCAATCATATAAGGGAGACCAAAGAAGGGGTGAAGGGTAGAGCAACAAAGGATTCACCTGTTCGGCAGGGGAATTCTTCAAAGAATGGTCACAGGGAAAAACCTTCAAGGATGAAACTTTAAAGATGGAATGACCCAAGTAAGAACCGACATGTTCACGGTCAGTTATAACCATCAAATATGACCCTGAAACATAATGAATTAACAACATCAACAAATTGGAAAAGCTGCCAGCGCCAGAAAGAATCATACAATTTCTCATATAATTAAAACGTATTAGAGTGTATTAGTATCCTACAACGCTTCTTTTTATACATGATTTTGCAATTATAGCAGAACTGGTAAATCTACTGTTAGAGTTTTATGAAGAAACAGAGCACAAATAAAAAAAAGGAATCAATTAGGTTTTGATTTCTACTCAGAAAACTTGAAGAAAATGAAGATACGAAGAAGATGAAGAGTTCTCTTTCTTTTCTCTGATTCTATTCAGCTATGACTGAATTGATAAAACTTCAAAACATAGAGTGGGGAGAGAGATATAGCCGTTTGAAGGCGCACTCACACACCCACCACACACACACACTCACGTGCTCATCACATGCTCACCTATAAGTGAGTTGTAATACCATGAGACACACATCTAGCCTATTAGCTTTGATTTAATCTGAGCCTTACATTTTAAACTAAGAGCAACAACTTTGAATTACAAAGGAAAACAAAACACTTTAATCAGAAGGCAGCTGCAAAGCTTAAACATCAACACTCTCCTCTAAGTTGGCAGCTGATTTGACTCCTAGCATCTCTCTGAAATAATTGAACTTCTCCTTTGGTAGTGCCTTAGTCAGGATATCTGCCATTTGTTCTTCAGATTTGCAGTAAACAAGCTCAATCTCATTCTCTTGTATTGCATCCTTGATGAAATGAAATTTTCTGCTGATGTGTCTTGTTTTCTGATGAAACACAGGATTCTTGGCAATAGCTATTGCTGAAGTGTTATCGCACATTAGCACAGTAGGTTCAACCTGTTCTTCCCCAAAATCTTCCAAAACAAATCTTAACCATTTGGCCTGAGATGTTGCTTCAACAGCACTTACATATTCGGCTTCTGCAGTGGATAATGCCACTATGTTTTGTTTGACTGATGCCCAAGAGAACACACCCGAGCCAAGATTGAAAGCATAACCTGATGTGCTTTTCATGTCATCAATACTCCCAGCCCAGTCACTGTCACAATATCCAATAAGAAGTGTTGACTTTCCTTTTACATATTCAATGCCAAAGTCCACAGTACCTTGAATGTATCTCAGTACTCTTCTTGTTGTTCCCATATGCTTCTTAGTTGGATCATGCATGAATCTTGCCAAGAGACTAGTACCAAACATTATATCTGGTCTAGTGGCAGTAAGATAGAGAAGACTTCCCACCAATTTCCTATACTCAGACTCATTTGCAGCTTCACTTCCATCATTCTTGCACAACCTTTCATTTGCTACAAGTGGTGTTCCCATAGATTTACAACCTTGTAGTCCAAATTTCTCCAGCAACTTCATTGCATATTTCTTCTGATGTATGAAAATGCTTTTCTTGGTTTGAACAACTCCCATACCAAGAAAATGGTGTAGCAATCCCAAATCAGTCATCTCATAGTGCTGCATCATATCATTTTTAAATTTGTCAAGCATTGTGTCACTACTTCCAGTGTACACAATATCATCAACATACACAGAAACTATGAGAATCCCTGAGTTTTCAACCTTAGTATATAAAGTGGCTTCATTAGGGCTTCTTTTAAAACCAGCCTTGGTGAAGTAAGAATCAATTTCATCATACCAAGCTCTTGGAGCTTGTTTAAGGCCATATAATGCCTTATTTAACTTATACACTTTATCCTCCTTGCCTTGTATGACAAATCCTTGAGGTTGATCAACATAGACTTCCTCCTTGAGTACACCATTAAGGACTGCAAATTTTACATCCAACTGAAATAGCTGCCATTCTTTTTGAGCTGCAAGTGCTATCAAAGTCCTTATGGTGTCAAGCCTAGCAACTGGTGCAAAGGTCTCATTGAAGTCAATTCCTGGCTTCTGTGAATAACCTTTTGCAACCAGTCTAGCTTTGTTTTTCTGAATGCTTCCATCAAGATTCAGTTTTGTTTTGTATACCCACTTCACACCTATCACAGGTTTGCTAGATGGTCTATCTACCAGCATCCATGTATTATTCCTTTCAATCATGTCTAGCTCAGCTTGCATAGCTTTCATCCAAGACAAATCTAGAGTAGCCTCTTCAT